CCGAGCCCCCCCCCCCAATGTCCAGAGCATTTTCTGCCCATACACAGGGAACACTTTTCCTTTTGGGGGGATTTAAATATCCCCCGTATATTTTTTCAACTTTTTAGATTTTTCTGCACACCGGGGGACTGCTCTAAGTGCAGGAAAATATCTCTGCCCCCCAAGTGCCCCCGATGTGCAGATTTAGATATCCGCATGAAGGGGGTAACTTGGCTATTAGATATATAGATGGGGGAAACAATAAAATGCGGTGGGTTGCCAATGAACTCATCTGGATTAAGACTGAGAGAACTAATAATGGCAGTGCCAGACTAAATGGCTAGTGTGGGAGTAAAGTAAGGGTAAAGGTTTCCCTTGCTTGAAAGCTAATCGAATCTGGCTCTAGGGGGAGGTGCTCATCTCTGTTTCCAAGCTGAAGAGCCAGCGCTGTCCAAAGATGTTTCCGTGGTCACGTGGCCGGCATGACCAGACACAGAGGCACACGGAACACTGTTACCTTCCCACCAAAGCAGTACCTATTAATCTACTTGCAATTTTTTGCTTTCGAACTGCTGGGTTGGCAGGTGCTGGGACCAGAGACGGGAGCTCACTCCATCATGCGGCACCCGGGTCTCGAACTGCTGAACTACTGACCTTCCACAGCCTGCAGTTCAGCGTCTTAACCACTTGAGCCACCGCAGTATGAGAGTAGCAACCAACAAATGCTTCTCATGTCCTCCAGCAGCAGAAATTTCACAAGAGAGGGGAAAAAATCTCAGGTTCTGTTAGGGTTGCCAGCTTCAGGTTGGGAAATACCTGGACTTTTTTTTTTGGGGGGGGGTGGATCCTGAAGAGGGGAGGGTTTGGGGAGGGGAGGGTCTTCAATAGGGTATAAATGTCACAGAGTCCACCTTCCAAAGTGACCATTTTTCTTCAGGTGAACCTGGTAATCTTCTCTGTCACCTGGTAATCAGTTGTAATAGCAGGAGACCTCCATACACTAGCTGGGGGTTGGCAACCCTGGGCTTTGTGTATGTTGGTCTTCCTCTCCTTGCATGGGCAGGGCCTCCCATTTTGAACTTTCAGTTCTCCCGGATTTATAAATTGATACTGGGCATGTACTTGAAGGAAGGCCCAAACAGGCTATGTTCAAGCAATGTGTGCTGGAGTGGGGGAAGAGAATAAACAACAAGTGATCTTTGGCAATAGGCTCTGTATTTTTATGGGCCGTTAAGGGTTTTGCAAAGATTAGCTCATTAGAATGATAAAGAATGAGTCAGTGCTCAACTGTATTCCTTATGGTGAACTGGAGTCCTTACGGTGAATCCATTTTATTAATAAGTCCCCTGAAGACCCATTGCTCATTTTCTACCCAAATGGTGTTTTGTGCTCCCCCTGTCCTGGGTAGGGTTGCCAACAGCCTGGAGGGGGAAAAAATGTCCTGTCCCTTTAATAGAGGCTTAATGTGTGAATATGGAAAGGAAGATTTTGATGGCACGGAGGTAAATAACATCACCGGGCAAATAGCATCCTATTAAGCCGCTATTACAGGAACAAAACATTTTTTCTTCCAGGCTGTTGGCACCCCTAAGGAACATTCCAGGGGCAGCCTTGGTGAAGCCAGTGTAACATATTTGCAATATTTATTTGCATGCATAGCTGTTGATGGTGTATAATATTAATATTATTGTTATTAATATAATATGATCTTCTCCCACAGACTGGCCATTAAAAACTCCACCGGATGGGCCCGGCACAGCGGCAACACTCACCGCAGAAGTTGGGCCACAGCCCGCACGTGCGTTCTAACAGCCTCTGCGGACGACTCCAGAAGAAGCAGGTCGTCGGCCTTGGGGGCGGCCGTAATTCCGTGGGCACTCTGTGACATAGCGAGTCGGAAGGATCGGCCTTGATTTAGGTGGCCTTTTCTTTACGGTGCGAGACTCTCTCTAAACGTGGATCATCCCCCCCCCCCCCCATTCTGGTATCTGAGAGCCAGTTTGGTGTAGTGGTTAAGTGTGCGGACTCTAATCTGGGAGAACCGGGTTTGATTCCCCACTCCTCCACTTGCACCTGCGTATGTGGCCTTGGGTCAGTCACAAGCTCTGGCACAGCTGTTCCTGAAAGAGCAGTTTGTGTCAGAGTTCTCTCAGCCCCACCCACCTCACAGGGTGTCTGTTGTGGGGAGGGGAAGGGAAAGGAGTTTGTAAGCCGCTCTGAGACTCCAAGTGAAGGGCGGGGTATAAATCCAATCTCTTCTTCTTCTTCTTCTATCTCTAGCGCTGCTTCTGCTCAGACAGCGGGAATCAAACACCAGGAGAGAGGCTTTTTCCCGCCGCTCCAATCAGAAAACGAGCGTAGGCCGAGCAGTGGGCTTGTGTTTGACGACGTAGGTGGGCTGCGACGTGGCTTCCTGATGGCGCCGGTAGTAAGGAGGAGAGAGTCTTTGGGCCAAAAGAGGAATGTGGGAGCGCAGAATTTGCCAGTTCAGCGTAGTTGGAAACAGCCATGGAGACAAGATCCACGTGCGGACAAGGAGACCCAGGAGGGACAAGGATTCGCCTTTTGGAGAAAACAAAAGATTCAACGTGCTAATAAAAATACTCTGTGTCATTGAAATTAAAAAAATAATATAATATTATTAAGAAACTGTCTTCTGACAATGGCGTGCAAGTTTAAAAGCACAGTTCATGCTTTAAAGTAGAACACAAATAAATAAATTCAAGACATTAGGTGGATTCTTTTCCTGTTTTTGCATTCTCAGATCATACCCACAGGTACATAAAAAGCAAAGTTTCCTCTAGTGCCGTAGAAAAGAGAAAGAGTCCAGTGGCACCTTAAAGACTAATAAAATTTGTGGCAGGGTCGGTGCTTTCATGAGTCACTGAGTGCTCTTTTCTGTTGCTACAGACAGACTAACATGGCTGTCCGTCTTGATCTATTTTCTCTGCTGTTCAAGGATGCTGGTTAGGATTTGCAATTTTATGATTAAGGTGGAGGAGAGTTTGCTCATCGCTTCCAGTAACTGCACCATTTGCTAACATTCTCCTTTTATTACAAACAGGAGGAGTGATCGGTGGCCACCGGTAGATTCGTTGTTTCGTGAGTGATAGGTGAACTTTGGCAGTGCAAAGCCGGTCTAGGAGATCTCCAGATTTAGCCTGGGGTTAAACCGTTTTGGCAATCCCTCCCCGCGTCTCCATCCTGGCAACCCACTCACCAACCTCTAGCAAACGGCAAAGGTTCCTTAAATATACTAATTAAAATAGGATAGTTTCCATACTAAATATCAAACAGTATTTCCAACAACAAAGGCTCAGCTTGAACAACTGAGCTGAGAAAAAGCAGTTAACATGCAAATTCAATAAACTGTGAGAAAAGCCAGTTAAAAGCAAGATTAATGCTGAACCTGGCACCCAACTTTCTTGTGCAGGCTGCTTGCTGAGCTGGTAGAGAAGCTGATCTGATAGGCTGGATTCATGCATGCATGGAAGAGCTGAGATGAATTCCTAGCCAATGAATTTTTTTTTAAAAATGATAGGCATATAAGGGCAGGCAGTGTGCAATTAAGGAGCTGCGGTGGCTCAAGTGGTTAAGACGCTGAACTGCAGGCTGTGAAAGGTCAGTCGTTCAGCAGTTCAAGACCAGAGTTGCCGCATGATGGAGTGAGCTCCCGTCTCTAATTCCAGCTCCTGCCAACCTAGCAGTTCGAAAGCAATTGCAAGTAGATAAATAGGTACCACTTCGGTGGGAAGGTAACAGCGTTCCGTGCGCCTTGGGGTTTAGTCATGCAGGCCACATGACCACAGAAACGTCTTCGGACAGCGCCGGCTCTTCGGCTTTGAAACGGAGATGAGCACCGCAACCCTAGAGTCGGACTCGACTGGCTTTCGAGCAAGGGAACCTTTACCTTTACCTTTTTAGTGTGCAATAAGGTGTTGGATTCTCTGGACTTGGTATTGCCAGGGAACCACGGAGTGCTCAAGGATTTTAACACAGCAGAGCTGGGGCTAGGTGTGGCGACAGACTTACAAAGGTACATGGCGTCAGCAGTCAGTTCTAAAACTAGTTAGCAACTTTTATTAAAGGAAATATTAAAGGAAACGCAGGCTTGAGAGTGCAGGTAAGAGAGATAGATTAGCTACTCTCTGACTCGATGGTGTTAGATGCTGGACGCACGTCCAGCCTCCATGGGGCAAGACGGAGAGATCGTGCACCTCCTTTGTGTGCGTGGGGAGAGAGAAGAAGTGAGAGAGCGGAAGCAGAGGAAATTGCCCCCAAGAGTAGCATTCTACTTCAAAGGAAAGGATCAGATAGCAGGAAGGAGAAAGGATGCTCTACGTGTCCTCACCTCTCTGTCTAAACTCTTTGGTGCCATCTCTCAAGTCTGAGACAGGAGACAGTGCAACGTCCTCCACTTCTAACATAAGGGACATCATCACACACGTACCTCGAGCCAGTGTTGGTCCCCTGGCCATTTAAATTGCCCAATGCCCATCAAGGAAGAAGCAAAACAATTGGATCCGAACAACCCAGTGGGTGGGGTTTCCCAGCTTTGCCTTGGCAAATGCTGGGGAGATTTTGGAGTCTTTGCCATTAAGACAAGGGGAAATTCCTACAGGGTTGCTATGTGGAGGCCATTTTTTTCGGCTGCTTCTCAGTTCCTTGGGGATGGGAAGTTGGGGCTGAGGGCAGGTAACTCCCTGCTCTGGGTGGAAGACCCATCCGTGGCTAAATGGAAGACCTACAATGCCCTGTTTCCCATACAGGAAGGCTGAGGGGCCTCTCATGCATGGGGAATGAATGTCGTAGCTCAGGGGTAGATCACAATCTTTTGGAATCGACCTTGCCTTGCCTGTATCTGACCCTCAGTTGTATCTCCCTACGCCTGGCCTGAGTATCTAGCTGGAAAAGGTCTATCATTCCAATCCATTTTCATGTTCTACTCAAGAGGTCCTGATCACAGATAATGCACTGTCCCCTCCCAAGAGCACAAGGGCCTGAAATATTCTGTTTTCCCCCCAATGTTTTTTATTTTGAACAATATATACAACAGTACATTCATAACATATATTGACGCTATGCAATAATCAACTTTCTCAACCCTTAAGAGCCCTTTTAAAAAATATAACAGATCTTTGTAATAAGAGTTGTTTGGAATCACTTCTTCTTCTGCTAGATAGTTCACCACTGGGAACCAAGTTGCTTGAAAACTTTTTTGGTGAGAGACAATTTTACCATATATAAAGTGCTCCCAAAGTTTGTTTTGCCAACATTGGAGAGTAGGTTGATTTTTGGTCTTCCAATACTGGACTATAGTTATGCGTGCAATAGCTAATAATGTTGCTATTAATGTTCTAGTGACTTTTCTTTCACAGGTATCTGGGATGACATCCAACAAGACCGTTTCAGGTAGAAAAGGTAAGTTGATTCCCGTGATTTGTGGTTAGGAGTGCAGACTCTAATCTGGAAGACTTGGGTTTGATTCTCTGCTCCTCCGCATGCAGCTGCTGGTGTGACTTTGGGTCAGTCACAAGTTCTTTCAGAGTTGTTCTCTCACAAGCAGTTCTTGAAAGAGCTCTCTCAGCCCCACCTACCTCACAGGGTGTCTGTTGTGGGGAGGGGAAGGGAAAGGAGATTGTAAGCCGCTCTGAGGCTCCTTCGGGTAGTGAAGGGCGGGTATAAATCCAATCTGTTCTTCTCTAATCTCATGCCTTTGACGTGCTGAAGGAAAATCATAAGTCACAGCACAGGATATCAGCTCCTAATGTGCTTGTCAAATAGCCTGTCCAGCCGAAATGTGCAGTGCCTCTGACTTTGTACACTCTTTGAAGCACCAGGAAGCAACATTACAGCGCATAGGTAGCTATGATTAAAAAGAAATTTGTAACGCCATCACTCATCTTTATATGCAGAGTTATTGTACGGGTTTTTATGGCTAATGGCTTTTCCATTAATAGTCTGCTCCCATTTTTTATTCTGTATGTTTTCAGCATAAAATCAATGGCTGCAATTACGTCTGTAGTGAGCAGCTTATTTAGCTCACGCTAATCGGTCATTCCTGGTGGAAAGGTATGTCATGTTTGATGGCCGTCAGAGGGCATCAAATGTGGTTAATGTATTATTACTTGTATGCTGCCTTATCGACACAGGAAATTAGATGACAGGCAGAAGGATTCTAGGTCTTTTACCAGTTGGTTTTCCACATGTGGGTTATTGTTATTATTGTTGTCTACTCAGACTGGCAGCGGCTCTCCATGGTCTCAGGCAGAGGCCTTTCGTATCACCTACTCCCTGGGCCTTTCAAACTGGAAAGGTCAGGGATTGAACCTGGGACCTTCTGCATGCCAAGCAGATGCTGTGCCACTGAGCCACGGCCCATCCCTCCCTTCTGGAATTTGTCACTGAATTTCTAAATTTCTAAACTAAATTTCTGAATGGCTAAAAAACAAGAAATTCACCCCAGACCCAAATCTAAGTGGTGGTAGACCTCTGTGTGGGCAATACTGCTTTACACTGTAGGTGGGCCTCACTTCACTGAATACTAGAATTATTTATGAATGGTCACAGTCAGATATTTGACTGGTAGATGGTGTTCTGCAATTAAAGATCTAGCCAAATTATTGAGAATTGCAGATGTATCTTTGCAGAATTCTCTCTCTTTTTTAAAATAAATTTTATTTTCCATTTTCCATATATACATAACATCAAATCCAAATGTATCCTATTGTCCGACATTTTGGGATTACATTAAACGTTTTCTTCAATCCATTTATTGACTTTTTGCCATTTTTGTTTAAAACTATTATCTGTTTTCCCCGCCAAACACATATTTAGCTTATCCATTTCTATTATTTCAACAAGTTTCATAATCAACTCTTCCTTGCTTGGTATTCTATCTGTTTTATCTTTACAGGATTCTCATTCCAAGCAACACTGTCTTCTGGAGCTGAGCTGGT